GCTTTCAGCTGCTCCCTCGGCTGCTCCTGGTCGCCCGCGGCACGTCTGGGCTGGGACGAGCGCCAGCTGCCTCCTTCCTGAGGCAAGATGGAGCCGGTTAGGTCAGCACGGAGGTGTCGGCGGTCTCTCGCTTCCTTGCTTGTGTTCTTCAGACGACCTGAATCACAGAGCACAAAATACTTCCCATCAACATTTCTCCCAAACAGACACCGGTGTCAGAGCCCGGGAGCTTCTGAGTGAGAGCCACGCCGTCCCCGCACCGTCATTTATCCCCGTGTGGACGGCGAAAGCCCGTTGAGTGTATGGTTGTATTATTTTTCTCTGCTAAAGTGGCCGAAGCATTTCAAAGGGGCTCCCCAGATGTCCTTGGCAGAGACCTAAGGCCAGGCTCTGCGTTTCTCTGGTCTCTGCATCACCCAAGACACACCAGTTTTGGTTTTCCACCGAGCTGAGTGGTGCAGTGGATACGCGGGAGGGAAGGGGTGGCATCCAGAGGGACCTGGACGGGCTGGAGGAGTGGGTCCATGAGACCCTCATGAAGTTCAACCAGGCCAAGTGCAAGGTCCTGCACCTGGGTTGAGGCAGCCCCCACTACCAGCACAGACTGGAGGATGGATGGAGGGAGAGCAGCCTTGTGGAGAAGGACTGGGGGATACTGGTGGGTGGCAAATGGGACATGAGCCGGCAATGTGCGCTTGCAGCCCAGAAAGCCAAGCGTCTCCTGGGCTGCATCACCAGCAACGTGGCCAGCAGGTCGAGGGAGGGGATGCTCCCCTTCTCCTCTGCTCTCCTGAGACCCCCCTGGAGCACTGCGTCCAGCTCTGGGGTCCCCACCACAAGACAGACATGGACCTGGTACAGCGGGTCCAGAGGAGGCCACCAAAATGGTCCGAGGGCTGGGACACCTCTGCTATGGAGAAAGGCGCCCTTGTGGGGAGCTGCCAGCCCCATCCACCGCCTGCTGCACCTTCTCCCCGTGCTGTGGGTCAGAAAACCACTACCATGGGGCCCTTCCCTCCTTTACCAGCGCTGCCTCAGCCTCACCTTGGTCCCTCCTTCCTTTTACAAAGATGCCGAAACCCACCTCCGGGCAATGCCAATACAGGCTACATCATCGGGCCAAAAATCACCATCACAACCATTAACCCTCTTAACACGCAAATGGAAGATGTTTGTGCTTCCTTGGATGGAAGCAGCTCTCACCCCAAACGCTGGGGTACATGAACCTGCCTCCTCCCACATCCTACCCTTGCAGCTCCCAGCACTCCAAGACAGACCCCCACGTTGGTGGCCCTGCCTGCATCTCCCTTCCCAGAACGGCCAACTGAGCCTCTTGTTTTGGCCCCAAACTGGCTGATTTAGCCTGGTTCCCCTTCTCCCCAGAGGATAAAACCCAGTGCTGAGGCTCCGGTGACAGTCCCAGCCTGTGCCTACCCTTTGTTGCACTTCATTCCATGTGATTTTGATCACATCTTTAAAAATAAAAAATCCCAAACCCACTCAAACCCAGCCTTCCCAGGGCAGAGATATTTCCGCACGGCGAACGCTCCAATGCAAATTCTCCGATGTCCTATTTTAGGTTTCTCTCCAGCGCTGGCACTGGCTGCAGACATCCGCGCTGGAGCTCCCGTTGAGCCTTTGGTAGTAATTGCGGTGGAAGGAAATAAGGGTTTCTCAGGGCAGAAAAGGAAAACTCTCCCCTCCTTCCCTGGGCTGAGCCACCCCACGCCTGCCACCTAATGAAACCCCAGCTGGCATCAGCCCTTCCTTCTCTTCCCTGTATTTATTCATTTATTCCTTATATGATTCATTATATTTCCCCATATCGGAGAGCCCCGTGCAGCCCCACCTTGGGCACCCCCCTGCGTGGCTCTCCTGCCCCCACGGTCTCTGTGGGGCGGGGGCAGTGCCCTACGATGCCCCATGCAGCTCCCCTGCCCGTTGCAGGCAGGTTGCCCCAGGCAGGGAGGTCCCGCGAGGCTCAGGGGTCACTTCGGCAGGAGGATTGTCTGGGTGCTGCTCCTACCCCTGCTGCTGCCTTCCTGGGGCACCCACGGTTGTTCTTTTTGTGGTTTTTTTTTTTTTTTTTAAATCCAGAAACCAAGGCACTGCCTCTGGTTTCTTCCCACTCTCTCTTGTACCTCTTCACCCCTTGTCACATCCATTTCCACCGCCGCCTCTCCCGGGTCTGGGTAAGGCAGCAGCAGTCAGTCCGATTGCATCCCAGCGCCGTCTGCCCGGGCGGGAGCACGCTGCCTGGCCGTGAGCTGCTGGCTGGCGGGATGCCATGCCTTCCCCTCGCCTCGCTGACGCGTTCAGATGTGTCTGAATGCATTCGGCAAATGCTCACGCTGAAGCAGGTAGCCTTTGTGTCCTCGGCTTACAACTTGATGATTTCAGTAGACCTGAAACCCCTGTGCTATTGCATGCCGTTGCTCTTCCCCTCCTTTAAAGGCAGCTAAAACATCCCAGAATTACCCTGCAGCTGGCATATAGGCCACAGACCAGATTCTCCATCCAGCTCTAGCAGAGAGAAGTCTTCAGCATGTTTTGTGGCTTTTCTGTTCCCCACAGCCAGAGTGGAAAGACCAGACCAAGAGCCTGAAGCATTTTTCGGGGTTTATCCCAAACGATGGGAACCCCTGGTCTAGCTGAGGGATGTTGGCTCTGCTCTTCGCCAAATACCTTTTAGAGGCTGAAGAGGAAGGAGAGGAAACACCTCAGGATACGGAGGTCTTCCCCAAAGCTTTCCAGTGTCTCTTCTCGCTCGTCTGTACATCAGGGCAGGGCACAAGGGACAAAGCACCACAACCACGCTCTAAAAAGTCATCCTTCATTTCCACCAGCCACAAAATGCTGATTGTTTGCTCCTCCTCTTCTCCTCGACCTTTGGGCTATCAGAATACCTGGAACTGGGACATTCTCAGTTGTTGACCAACAGGTCAACAGTTGGTCATCCTGGATCCGGTGATGTCACTGCTGAGAGGTGGGTTTCTCGGCCACCTGGGACTTTGGCAGATGTTTGTGGGCTCATCTCTGCCCAAGCCGGCATTCTTGGTAAGAGGAGAGATGAAAACCTTTGCTTCCCCTTGCAGCACCTTTGGGGCGTACGCTCGTTTCTGCATCACCAAGAGAGGAAGGGAAGCCCTTCAGAAGGTCCCGAGGACATCACAGGAGGAAACCACCCCTCATGTAGCCAGGTGTATAAAGCTCGAGTCTCTCTTTGTTTTATCAGCTGTATTCAAACCATTCATATTTAGTCAGTGGTGTGGTGACTGTTGTCTAATAGACGTGTCCTGGAGCCGCTGCTTCTAAGCCGAGACAAAAGTTGATGCTCCATAGTTCTGTTGCACCAGACCTTGTAAAGGCAAACGCCAGAGCTCATGCTGGCTCCTACAGCCTCCTTGTAGTCAAAACTTTTGGCAGCAGCCCTAGACGGCCTTGAAAGAGAGAAGGGATGGACGGTTTGTACAAAAGCCCGCGGACGGGCAGATTTTCCGTGATTTCTGGTCAATACTGCCATCCCTGGCAACTGCGTTGCCCCAGGGTGCCAGGGGGGCACCAAGAGCCTGGGGTGCACCAACCTCAACATCAGCCTGGTGGCCCTCTGCACCAAAAGCAGATATGTCAAGTCAG